ATTTAATAAAAAATAAGTATATTTTGTACAGCAAAAAAAAAAAAGACTAATAGACTTTACATGACAAACAAATACAACTGTATTTTTTGGTTGTTTATTGTTATTTTTATAATGAAAAATTTTATTTTTATTTTAAATTGACATTTTTATGATTTTTTTAAATCACTTGTTTTTGTTAAACCCTTTTAATAAACCAAATATTTACAAATATGTAAATATTTACATATAAAAATACAATTTCTAATTAAATTAATTGGTAGGTTCTCATCAACTCCCAAACCCTTTATTGGAATAAACAATGTTTCACATATAATTTGTTGTTGACATCAAAGACTGTCAAAGAAATTAAGTGTTATTTGAAAACAGTATGACTAAAATGAATACATGTTTCATGTTGAGCTGGTAAACACACATCTGCTGTTGTCAAAAATGTTATTTTTTATCTTCAGTCTCTCTTACCTTAATCATATTGTTAAGCTAGGCCATTTATGGTAATATTAATAGAGTTCATGTTTGAAATCTGTTAAATGGAATTTTTGTTACTTTCATACATTAGACAGTTTTTGTACTGTGTTGGGTTCAGTGTAAGATCTGAATCCTGAGAACAGCTACAGTCATAATGATGTCTGATGATCTTTCACAGGTATTCCTCAGAGGATGAACGGTAAAGTGAGCGGCAGGGTGTCCGTGGGAAACTCACCGGTGCCCGTGGACTTCGCCAGTAACGATCTCCACTCGTATGTAGTGGTGAATGACGGCAGAGCGTATGTGGCCATCAGCGCCATTCCAGCGATCGTCGGCTTCTCTCTGCAGCCGCTGTCGTCCGTCGGAGGAATCATCGGCTGGGCCTTTGCACTTCAGCAGCCGGGCTTCAAGAACGGCTTCAGCATCATTGGTGAGATTCTCAGAGAATTCATATAATGAGAAGTCCTCAATAAGAGCCATCTGAATTCACATTTTTAACATTTTTATCAAATAAAAAATTGTAAAGGAGATCTTATTTAGTTCAGGGTTATTATAGTTAACTAAAACTGAAAAAAAAAAAAAAAAACATAAAAATCCTCTAAAACGTCTTCATTACAAAATAAACGTTAACTGCAAAATAAAATATAAAAAGCTTACTTCAGCTTATTGGCGAGACAGTATTTCACACTGTAACCTGATTTACTTAATGTACTAAAATAACTAAAACTAAAATTCAATAAAATTAATAAAAACCAGATACTGTAAACACATATAAAAGTAACAAAAACTATTAAAAAAGGCAAAAACACACAACAAAATGACTAAAACTTTACTGCAAATTAGAATGGAAATATAAAAATAAAAGAAGAAATACTGATAATCAAAAATCTAAATATTAATAAAAACTATAATAGTATCTCAGTGATACTAAGACAACATTGATTTAGATCAAGGGATAAATTGGGAAAAACAAACAAACAAATAAATAAATAAAAACAATTAATGATTAAAATAAAAAATACAATAAATAAATAATACATCTAACAGTACAGTACTATAGTGAGTTGAATCCAATTATTTTCCAAATATTTTATACGTATTTATTACATGTATTTATTTTTTAAATACTTTTTTTAGAATATAAATGGGGTCTTTATACGTAAAAAAATATATAGCTGCATACATATTTTAGGATTGTCTGTGGCTGGTATCTTAAACATTAAAAACTCCTGACTTAGATAGCTAGACGTCTTTCTTCATAGTTCAGTATTTCCTAAATCTTCATCGTCTTTCCTTTTATTTTCTATTATGACATATGCAGATGAAATCATTCACTACTGGATGTAGGAGTACTAGTAATACTTCCCTTTCTAATTTCATTATTAAACATGCATGACATTTTCAGAGCAGTTATTTGGGTGTAAAAGCACTTAAACTTGTAATGATGGAGTGTTATATGTATAGGAAGCTGTAAGATGCGTTGTGATGGAAGAGCAGAAGAGCCAGAATGCAGCAAATATTTTTTTGATAAACAATTGTTTTAAAATCAATGTATTTTCAGCAAACTCTCTGTTTTGACACATCGGTTTGATTTGTTTGCTGTGCGGTGATACAGTATGTTTGAAATCCAGCCTCACACTCCCTCTTTGACCTGTCTGTCAGGCGGAGTGTTCAGACGTCAGGCCGACGTGACCTTCCAGCCAGGCGGGGAAAGGTTGACTATCTCTCAGGAGTTCAAAGGCATTGATGAGCACGACCACCTGATGGTTGACACCAGACTTGAAGGAAAGATTCCTGAGGTTCCTCAGGGAGCCACAGTTCAAATTGACCCCTACACAGAGATCTACCAGTACAGCACCAACTGTGAGTCAAACCATCATGACTGCATGTGTATGCATAAAACAATAATGAGTATGCATAATAATACAATAATGTATGCAAGAATAAAACACAAATGAGTATGTATAAGTGTGCATTCTAAAATATGCATGAGTTTGCATGATAAAACATTCTTGAGTATGTATGAGTATGCATGATAAAACATGCATGAGTATGCATGATAAAACTTGCACAAGTATGCATGATAAAACATGCATGAGGATGCATTATAAAACATGCATGAGTATGTATGAGTGAAACAAGAATGAGTATGCATGAGGATGCATTATAAAACATGCATGAGTATGGATGATAAAACATGCAAGAGTATGCATGATAAAACATGCATGATTATGTATGAGTATGGATGATAAAACATGCATGAGTATGTATGAGTATGCATGATAAAACATGCATGAGTATAGATGATAAAACATATGTGAGTATTCATGAGTATGTATGAGTAAAACATGCATGAGTATGGATGATAAAACATGCAAAAGTATGCATGATAAAACATGCAAGAGTATGCATGATAAAACATGCTTGAGGATGTATATGTATGATCAAACATGCATGAAGATGCATTATAAAACATGCATAAGTATATATGAATATGGATGGTAAAACATGCAATGAGTATGTATGAGTAAAACATGAATGAGTATGCATGAGGATGCATTATAAAACATGCATAAGTATATATGAATATGGATGGTAAAACATGCAATGAGTATGTATGAGTAAAACATGAATGAGTATGCATGAGGATGCATTATAAAACATGCATGAGGATGTATGAATATGGATGATAAAACATACATGAGGATGCATTATAAAACATGCCTGCATGATTATGGATGATAAAACATGCATGAGTATGTATGAGTATGCATGATAAAACATACATGAGTATGGATGATAAAACATGCGTGAGTATGCAGTAAGTATGCATGATGCCAAGTATCTCCTTTAGCAATATGTCATGCTTTGCGTTTAAGTCCTATTATGAAACCTAATGATTCGTGTGACTCTTCTGTCAGTGATCACCGCTTCATCCACACGGGAGTATGTGATCAATCTGCAGGACCGTTCAACCCAAAGCAGAAGCTACAAATTCAGAGAGACCATCACGTTTCAGGGCTGCCAGCACGATGAAGTCGTCAGAACCTTGCCGTCCACACAGATGCTCAATGTCGACCAGGTGTTCGTCATGTATGATACGGGTGAACAGCTCTTGCGTTATGCCATGAGTAACAAGATTGGAGACGTCAATGGTAAGGGCAGATCTGAGAAAATATTTTGCCTAGGGCTGCACGATGAATAGTATTTTAATCATGACTAAGATTTCTGCTTCTCTTAATTAAGTATAATTTGCCTTATTTATCCTGGAAATGTTTCAATTGACAATTGCATTATCTTGCATTGGTAACAAGCCTCCACAAGCTTTCATGCTTGCAGTTGCCAGATATTAAAACCAAAATTTTAAATCCCCAATCAGAGCTTTTCTCTTAAATTGATAAATTTTTCTGCCCAGAGTTTTACTTACTCTTCCCAATCTGGCAACCATGCGGTTTCTACTTATTGCTACTTTTTATTTCAAAATTTTTAGTTTTTTACTTGCAATTGCGAGTTCTCAGAATTATGAGATACAAACGTGCAGTTTTGAGAAAAAAGTATGAATTGTGATATATAAATTCGTAATTAAGAGAAAAAGGTCAGAATTGTGAGAAAACATTTATTCGAGTTAGAGTTATAAACTCTCAATTATGAGATATAAACTCAGAATTGTGAGATAAAAGTCAGACTTGCAAGATATAAACTCAGAATTGTGAGAAAAAGGTCAGAATTGTGAGATATAAACTCAATTGTGAGATATAAACTCAATTATGAGATATAAACTCAGTTATGAGATAAAAACTGAGAATTGCGACATATAAACACAGAATTGTGAGAAAAAGGTCAGAATTGTGAGTTATAAACTCAATTGTGAGATATAAACTAAATTATAAGATATAAACTGAGAGATGTGAGATATAAACTCAGTTATGAAATAAAAACTGAGAATTGCGACATATAAACTCAGAATTGTGAAATAGAAAACTCTCAATTATGAGATATAACTCAGAATTGTGAGAAAAGTCAGAATTGCAAGATATAAACAATTGTGAGAAAAAGGTCAGAATTGTGAGTTATAAACTCAATTGTGAGTTATAAACTCAATTATGAGATATAAACTCGGTTATGAGATATAAACTGAGAAGTATGAGATATAAACTAAGAATTGTGAGAAAAAGGTCAGAATTGTGAGTTACAAACTCAATTGTGAGATAAACTCTAAATTTCAAGATATAAACTGAGAAGTGTGAGATATAAACTCAGAATTGCGAGAAAAACATCAGAATTGTGAGAACTCTCAATTATGAGATAAAAACTAAAATTTTCTTTGAATGTATGTAATGGATCTTCTGGGGAAATAACAGTTGATTTTTATACCACATCCGCAGGTGGACAAACGGAAGAAAACGCCTGCTTCACTGGCAGACACGGCTGCGACACTAACGCCGTCTGCAGACCCGGACAAGGAAACCAGTTCACATGCGAATGTGCCGCGGGCTTTACTGGAGACGGACGCGCTTGCTATGGTACAATCACAGATTTTGCGTAATTAAATCAATCCTCAGTCCATCATTTCAATTAAAACAATTTCCTGTTTCATTTCCCTCTTAAAACGGGCCACTAATCTGCTTCCTTCTGAAGGGAAATGGAGTTTTTGTCCATGAAAGTACTGCTTGGCTTCCTAAGGGGGCTGTTTCCAAAACAGTCTTCTAATCAGACGTCAAAATTGCCCAGACCTCTACGGATGTGACCCATCCCTTGCTGCTTAAAGGAAATTACAGAAAAACAGGACAGATGTTATCTTAAAGAGCAGTAATTAGGAGAACCGACTGTATCATCGTTAGTAATTCATGAGAATGTGACTGAGGAAGTATTTTTGTTTAAGATAGCATTAAAGCAAAGTCTAAAAAAGCTTGCGGAAATCCTAAGGATTGGTCAGCTTCTCTTTTCTCATCAGACATCGATGAATGCAGGGACACTCCTCAGATCTGTGGGCCGAACGCCGTCTGCAATAACCAGCCGGGAACGTTTCGCTGCGAGTGCCAGGACGGATTCCAGTTCGCCAGCGACGGACAGACGTGTGTTGGTACGTCAGAGTCTCACGAGTCACTACGTGTTTATGTCTGTTTGTATTCGTCACCGTTATTTGTTGACAGAATCCCCCTGCTATTTAGATTTTAAAATACAAAGCAGCTGATTTGCATCATAGAATGTCCACAGTGTTAAACCAGCTCTAAAGTCATGGACTAAATATAATCTAAATAAACCCATAAGACTTGATTTTCATGGGAAGACTTTAGAAACCACGTCGCTTGTTTAGTCTGGTCTACTGTAAGAAAGAAAAACCATGAATGAGATCTCAGTTGTTTTTTCCAAGACAAGGTTGAGATTAAATGGAAAGCAAATGGAGATTTGAGACAAAATCCCTTGTTTCTGATCTTTCTGAGGAAAAAAAAGACCTTAGGAGGAATTCCCAGTAGAGGATGTTGCTCATTATTTCAGCCTTCTGCACTTTATTTGCACATTTATCTAAAATTAACATACCCAACTCAATTAACAATTAATTTTATTTATTATTTAAATGTAATACATTGATTTAATTTTTAAATGTATTCAATATTTAAATGTAATGCATATTTGAATTTAATAAATGTATCATCTAATTTTAATTCTAATTGTAATATTACATTTATTTATTAAAATTTAAATTGTCATTAAAAGCACAAAATCGTGATTTATTATTTAAATGTAATACATTGATTTAATTTTTAAATGTATTCAATATTTAAATGTAATGCATATTTGAATTTAATAAATGTAATGCATATTTGAATTTAATAAATGTATCATCTAATTTTAATTCTAATTGTAATATTACATTTATTTATTAAAATTTAAATTGTCATTAAAAGCACAAAATCGTAACAGCCCTATAATGGATTTTCTTAAAGCAATATTAAATATCTTATTCATTTCTGTTTATTTGGAGGTATTAAGATTCACCCAGAAATACTGAACGAGGGATTTAGTCACAAGTAACTTTTTCTTTTTTCTTTCTTTCTTTTGTTCTTTTGTTCTTTCGTTCTTTTGTTTTTTCGTTCTTTCTTTCTTTTGTTCTTTATTTCTTTCCTTTCTTTCTTTCTTTCTTTCTTTTGTTCTTTCGTTCTTTCTTTCTTTTCTTTCTTTCCTTTCTTTCTTTCTTTCTTTTGTTCTTTCGTTCTTTTGTTCTTTCTTTCTTTCTTTTCTTTCGTTCTTTATTTTGTTCTTTTGTTATTTCGTTCTTTCTTTCTTTTGTTCTTTCTTTCTTTCCTTTCTTTCTTTCTTTCTTTTGTTATTTCGTTCTTTCTTTCTTTTGTTCTTTATTTCTTTCCTTTCTTTCTTTCTTTCTTTTGTTCTTTCGTTCTTTCTTTCTTTTGTTCTTTATTTCTTTCCTTTCTTTCTTTCTTTCTTTTGTTCTTTCGTTCTTTCTTTCTTTTGTTCTTTCTTTCTTTCCTTTCTTTCTTTCTTTCTTTTGTTCTTTCGTTCTTTCTTTCTTTTGTTCTTTCTTTCTTTCCTTTCTTTCTTTCTTTCTTTTGTTCTTTCGTTCTTTCTTTCTTTTGTTCTTTCTTTCTTTCCTTTCTTTCTTTCTTTCTTTTGTTCTTTCGTTCTTT